AGGGTATCAGAAGTTGCCCAATCGATTCAGAGTGTACAGGCGGTGCCCGCAGTATGCCCAGAAGTGTCCAAAAGGCGCCCGGTGTCCAACGGTGCTTTCAAGGCGCCCAATGGCGTTCAAAGGTGCCCAAAATTCGTTGGATCGACGACTGGGACCGCCAGATGCACGGCGCGCGCTTTGTTCCAGCAGGCTTTCCTTCCGCGCCCTCGACCACCGCCTCGTCCTCGAGTGGAAGATGATAACCCGCCTGGGCGTTTCGCAGGGCAATGTACTACTCACCAGCCAGGGCGTCTAAGCAGCCAGAGACGCGCCCGCTGCCCGTGCTACAATTTCCAGCCGGGGTCGCGACCAGAAGGATTGTGGAGCCTCGTAGATGACCAAGCAGCAGCAGATTCGGTTGCAGCACCTGCCCACCTTGCAACGACGAGCGCAAAGTTGCGCCGAGAACCTGAAGAATTGCTCGCGCAAGAAACTGCGAAGTGCCAGCGGTGCAGTCTCTTCGGCCACCCGCCTTCAAATTCAAAGTGCCGGGTGGCGTCAATGACGACCTCGACATGCGACGCCTCCCTGAGCACAGATGGACGCGTGCCAGGAGGCCTTGAGCTGCAGTCCAGCGTCCTGTGGGTATCGACGCTTGACGGCGTAACGACCGCAGCGTTGCTGCGGCGACGGCGACAACCATTGCCGCCTACACCTCTGCCATGATCGCCTCTCCCATTTCCGCCCTTCTCCAGAACCTTCCCCCGTGACGCCGAATACATCCCCCTCTTTGGCCTCCAGGGCCGAGGGCCTTGTCGTTCCTATCCGCTGCGTCGCCCCACGCGTTACCGCCTCGGATTCGCGCGGCCGGCCTCTCGATCGAGGCAGATGGAGCGGAGGGGAAGAGGTCATCGGAGGTGTTGGACGTGGAGGGAGACAGGGGGAGGAAGGAAGGAGGCATCATCATCATCGCCTCCTATCGGAGCTCTGCCGCGGGTTTCCGTGGCCGCCGCCTCCACCAGAGCTCGTGGGCATTGCCCATCGCTCAGCATCTCAGCATGTGGGGTCCAGCGCGCACTAGCACTGTTGTTCGCGTGCCCCGTGCCCAGAGGAGCTCTTGGAGAAGCGGGCCGCGGCACGCAAGCGGCCTCGCGGAGACTGGGGCGGTTGCGGATTCGAGAAACGGGGGGGGGGTGGACGAGGATCACAAGTGTGGAGGGAGAGGCGGAGGACGAGTAAGCAGGAGGGGGAACAGGCATTGGAAACAATACGATGAAGGATGAGGTTCTCGCACTGGCGGCCGTCAGCAAGTTGGCCGGTGAAGCTGCGAGGCATCGTTCTGATACCGAGGCGCTCAAGTGAAGAGAGTGTAATCGTGCGTGGTGTCGTCCTGTGCTACAGGATGGATGACGTCAGCTGTGTGAAGGACATGTGCGACCAGGATGGCATGAGCACCGTCATATCTGATTGCGTTGGTCTTTGTCGCTCACAACATGGACGACAGGCACACAAGCTAGCGGTTAGTGACAAGGGCGCGCTGTGCGGGGCCGGCGTTGGACTACTCTTTCACAAACGTTTTGAGTGTGATGGAAGTTGGCTCGCCCGACATGTCTTCAGAGATCGTGCAGGTGGCAGCGGAGCACATTCGGAATTCGCGGCAGAAATACTTTTCCCCAGGGAGATCGCTTCACACCCACTTCGCAGTCAGAAAGCTGGCATCTATTGGGTGAACAGGCGCTCCCAAGCCTGATTACAGTGGAGGTTTCATCTTCTCAGATGGATCGGCGACCCATCCGCATTCTCGCGGGTTTCGGCGAGCAGGATGGGCATGAGTGATAATGAGCGATGAACGCAGATGTACCGTCGCCGCGCATGGAGCTGTACCAGCAGACGTTAGTCCGCTCCAGCAGTCTCGAGACGCTGAGGACTATGCCATCATGATGGCGAGGCAGTGCTGTTTCGGTAATATTGTTGTGCGCGCTGACTGCGCGGGCACGCTTTCTTGCATAGACAATCGTGCGTGGTATATGTGTAGCATGAATGAGCGCGCACACATGCGGCAGCGCATTCGGTACGTGTCCGAGAACGGGCAGCAATCTCGCAACGTTTAAGCGCCCAGCACAATGGTGCATGTGCGCGAATGGAGAACGACCGAGATTATTCAGCGAAGCTCTGACAAAGCAGATGAGTACGCCAAGATTGGCGCTCTCTGTGACCCTGCTGGAGATGGCTATATTCGGTGTGTGTAAGGCGTTGGTGGGTTTCTCTGGGGGGCTGGGAAGGCGGACCATAATGTCCGTCAGGCCAAGTTTCAGGTGCATGACGCGGCCGATTTTCCTGAGCGGGTTGTCTCCGCGAGCAAGAACAGGACACGTGTTGTCAATTTAATTTTCGGGGGTGCAAACATGCCCAACGTGCTTGAGTCCCGGCCTGGGTTCCATGCGATCGATTCAGAGGCTGACAGGGACCCCGAGCTTGACTTTTCAGTTTGTTCAATGGCCACACACTCAGGATGGCGTGTGTCTTCGACGCTGAAGGAGAGCGGACTTTGGGTGGCAGCAAAGTAGCGGTGTGCACCAACACTTGGAGGATACGCGTTGTGTGGAGTTGTGCATTTGGCGAAGAGATGCCAGGAACAAGCCTACGCACTAAAGCGGCAGAGATGGATGGTGAGGGGACTATTTCCGAGTTGGGTGCTGCAATATCGAGGCTGGACAATTGGCCCGTTGCGGCCGCCCTGCAATATGGAACTGCCCCACCTCGCTAAGCACGGGGTCAAGAAACTTCTTGCGCAGTACAGTCTCGATCAGAGCATGCTTGGTATGTTGATGGCCCAGGAGCGTGATTGGGCCAGCAAGTCGGATGCATCCGACAACGATTTTGTAATTAGTTTTAGGAGTGCGCGGCGTTGACACTATCTCCACATGGTACATCACAGCACAAGTATGGAAGGACGGGGTTATTCGGGAGGGGGGGCAGCAGTGGGAAGAGGATGAGGAGGATGACCAAAGCGAGGATGGAGGAAAAAAGGAGGAGGCTAGGCGAAGGAGGAGGAGGTGGAGGAGAGAGATCGGAGCAACTAGAAGAGGAGCAGGAGGATGAGGAGAAGGAAGAGGAGGAGCTGGATGGGGGAGGAGGGGGAGCTGGATGGGGGAAGAGGGGGCGGAGGGGGGAGAGGAGGAAGAGGAGGAGGAGGAGGAGCCAAAGGAGGAGGAGGAGCAGGAAGAGGAGGAGGACGAGGAGGAGGAGAGGAGCTTCTTCGTCGCTCATCCTCCAGGGTGGGGGCGGTGAAGCGTTGCGCGCAATTGGTTTTTCAACCCGCGGCTCAACGTTGCCCGTTGGATGCGTCGAAGTGTTTTGGGTAGCAGCTGCATATCAGCGCGACTTCCGATCCGATCGATCGAGTTCGGTACCAGCTGTCTGCGGCAAACCCCGCCGCCGTGCCTGTGCAACAACGTAGCAGAGAATACTTAGAGTTCTCGACGTGCTCAGCCCACCTGGCTGGCATTCGCCGTTGGCACAGTTTTGGCCCGTGGCGCCCCATTGGCGACTCGGCCTTTGTTCACATCGCCTTCGCGACCACCATGCGTGAGAGGGGCGTGGGCAGGCAGCCCACCAACGGTCTCGCCTGACTGTGTGGTCCACGCCACAGTGCGTTCACCGAATTCCCTGGCAGTTTGCTCTGGGCTGCATGATGCTCGAGCTTCCCTGGGTGCAGTCAGCCAGTCCACCCTCACCCTGCAGTCCCTGCGGCTGCGCTGTGAGCTGGCCCGGCCGGCCCGCCTTGCGCCCAGTAGCTAATTAGGCCTGTTTCCGCGCCCTGGACAGCTCCTGTCTCCGCCTGCGCTCTTCGCTTGCAGACGCGACCAAAAAACAATTATATCCCCGCCAGTCCATCCAGAAACATATCGCCAGGCGAGCCGTGACCAGACCAGTGTAGAAGCATGCAGTTTGACAGCCGCCTTGGAAGCGTTTGCTCGGAGATCGTGTTGAGCCATCTTGGAGTGCTCTGAGTGTCCTGGCGGCGCCTCCTGGGGTTCTCTTGAAGCCCTTTTGGAGCTATAGTGGGCCCTCGTGGGGCTTTTTGGTGGGGTGTCGGAGGCCCCGTGGTGGCCCCACTCCGCTGGACCCACCAGCAGCCCTCGAAAGTGGCGACAGTGTCGCAGATAGCAGCCCCCCTCCCAAGGACGGGGAGGTACCGCTCAGATCTGCGCGGTGCCTCACTACGCTGGACTCACCAGCAGCTTTCGAAAGCGGCGACAGTTTCGCAGATCGCAGTCCCCCCCCGCCCAAGCACGGCGAGGACTCGCGGGAGACAGGTGGCGGGAGGCAGGAGGCGGGAGGGAGGAAGGAAGGACGCGCGAGCAGTTCTCTGTTCAAAACGAATACCCAACCAACGAGGGTTGGGAATAATTTGTGTTTGCCCCCTCAGGCTCTCCTGGACAGCCTTGGGCTGCCTAGATGTCGTCTTCGGAGCCCCTTGAATGGTCTTGGGCCATCTTGGGTCGTCTTGACGTCATCTTGGCTATCTTGGAGCCAACCTGGACGTCTGCAGGCCGAAAAGCCAGCCATCGATCAATGTTAGGTGGGGCGGCACGAGGCGGACGAAGGAGGAGAAGAGAAGGAGCATGAAGGGGACGAGATCGATGCAGGGACGACTGCATCGGCAAGCGCGCGGATGATGAGGGCGTCCGACGACCCGGACCCCTCACGGGGCAGACGGTTTAGAGCAGGAAGCAGAAGGTGGTACCACCGCTCGCGAGACGAGCAGGGCGAGGATGAGCAGTAGCACGGGGTAGAGAGAATGGAGGGGGAGGAGAAGGACGCATGCGAAAACGGGGAGGGACAGTACGAGGGCGAAGAGGACGAGCAACATCCAGCAGCAGAAAAGAGACGTACGTGCACGTGAACTCGCATGGGAATCGAGAGAGCCCAACACACGAGCGTTCATGACATAGGGCGACATCTTGAGTTGGGGAACGTGTTCATATACGGGGCATGGCCAGTGCGCAATTTTTCAGTTTCCTAAGCCAGGACGAAGAGGGGGGCGGAGACGCCATGGAAAAGGCGAACGCGATTTTGCGAACGAGTCATAGACTGCGTTAGCAATGCTTGAACACGCCCTCCTGTCCC